TGGTCTTGGCCTGCGACTTGGAGCCCATGATGCCACCTCCCCACTTCTTCCTCACCTCATCGAATTTGTCGTTGAAGTTGGCCTGCACGGTACATTTTCAGAATCAGCTCATCAGGGGATGCATAACTACATGGTATCAAGAATATACTGCAATATATGTCATATTTTCACACCTTAATAGCCTCCAAGATCTTGCTGAACTCAAGCTTGTCCTCGTTCTTGACAGTGGTCAGACACAAGACTGATGCAGTCTTCTTGTGAACAATCTGTATATGATCAATACCATAGAGTGAGCCTTATTATTTCAGATGCCTCGATAGATTTAGCAAGTTCAAAACAGCACAGGCATAAAACATACCGAGCCAAGGCGAGCCTTTCCTTTAACAATGCAGTAAGGGACCTCCATCTTCCTGCACAGGGCTGGAAGCCACACAACCAGTTCAATCGGATCAACATCATGAGCAATGACAACAAGCTGAGCCTTGTTCTGCAGAAATTCATACATTCAGTCAATAACATTGTTTGTTGCCACGAAATGTTGGATACCTTGACTATACCACGTAATACAAGTGAAATAAAGAAGTGCCGAAGTCCATACCTGCTCAATGAGGTAAGTCACATGGTTAAGGCCATACTTAACAACAATTGGTTTCTTGGCCTCAACAGTTTTTCCTTCACTCTCAGCCTGAGCCCTCTTCAGAAGCCTCTCCTTCTTGGCAGCCTTGTCTTCAGGCCGGTACTTGAGAAGCATCTTAAACAAGTTGGTAGCTGCAAACATTTCACATCATAAATTTCAAACCCCAAAATATATAGTCTGGCAAATGGATAATAGCTTATACCATTATAGAAATTAAAGAGATAAGGCATAATTCCAGGAACATCATAGTTCAAACATAGCTGGCAGTAAACTTAAACCAGAACACATGAGGCATTCAGTGTCTACTGATTCCCTGATAGGTGATATGGTATCCACTAATTTTAGTAGATGTTCCGACAAGTTTACAGGTGAATAACAGAGGCATGACTAGACAGGCTACTGGCGACTGAACATTCTTATGGCCCAATGCAACACTAGAGGCCAGATCCTAATAGACTCATGGAAAGCCTCCTGCCCTAATTAACGTAGCCAAACATATAAATGGTAACCCTAACACAATATGGTCGAAAGAATGCAAGACAACAGTAGCTTAAGATGCATAGTTGTCTACATCAATACAGTTCGGTATTAATCCACTGTTCAACTGACATAGAACAAGTTTTCCGCATCAAATCAAGACTCCTTTAAAAGGTGATACTTCTACTGTTCCTTGCATTGAACTTCCTATGTCCGATGCTAGCAACCTAGCACTCAGTAAACAAGAGGGGTGAGTGGTGTTCATACCGAGGTTCTTGTCGAGGGTGCGGGTGAACTGGTTGAGCGCCGGTGGCACCTTGAGGCGCTGCTTGAGGATGCGGCGCTGGCGCTGGATGCGCACGACCTTGGGCCACTTGACGAACCGGTGCAGGTCCTTCTTGGGCGGCAACGCGCCGCCGATGCCGAACTGCTTCGGCCTCTTCTCGAACAGAGGGTTCACAACTTTATCCTGCACCCAGCCAAACCCAACACAGTCAGACCACGCATTCCAACCATGGCGCCGCACACATCTCGTGCAAGAACACGGGAAAGCGCAATACATACCGTCTTCTTCTTGGCCGGCACCGGCGCCCTGCCACCTCGCTTCGGGGCCTGCAGATTTGTAAGTCGAACTCTTAGCACATTACACGAATCATACGCAGATTTTCAGCAAGTTAACATCAGAAAATTACAATCCCAAAATTACAAGAACATAAGCATCATAAGCATGTGCCCCCAAGATCCACGAAACAAGATTGAAACATAACCAAAAATATCCCGAAAATCCCAGTTTTTTTTCAAATAGAAGAGAGTGGATCAGTGGGAATCCGAAAGCGTAAGAGAGAGATCGGGGGAGAGACCGCACGCACCATTTCGCCGGAGGGGAGCTTGGCGTTCCGAACGGGAGACGACGGCGACGCGAGGGAGGGGGAGGAGGCGGCGACTGGCGCTTGGAGGCTGAGAGGTGGTTCTATAAAGGATGACTCGCGCCGAGCTGGACGCAGCCTGGCCGTCAGATGCGAGGTGAAGAAGCAAGCGGGACGGTCTCGGCCGTCCGGTGCCGGGATTAGGGTTTAGGCGATGCTACTTGGGCCGCGCCACGAGAGAAAGGTAGGTGGGCCTCCATGGTCTGGGCCGTTTGTTATATCGGTGATTTCTGTTTGAGCCCATTTGCTTGGCACTTTTCAAATTCCCTTTCGACGAGCCCAGAGACCGGATTTCGGAGAGAGGAGGGAGACTCTCCGGCGTGTATAGTAAGCTTAATTGCATCTAGGTGAAGTTTACCCTATGTTCCCTCTTTCCCATCTGGAACTGCATCCCTATTTTTCTGGTGAGGGTTCGAAAACTGGAGAGGGAGACCCACGTCTTCTTGTTTCTGCGGTTGATAAGCCGGTTGATACTGTTTTATTATGAGAGAAAAACACTTTAGCATGGCTGATAAGCAGTTCAAGCGAACATCACGATCAGCTCATACTTCTTGGGTAGAATCGACATATTCTTTCGAGTATAAGTGATTGACATTTTAGGAGATTATTAGTTTGTGCCTGCGAATTGAGGCTGTCAACATGTTGGCAATATAAAACAAGAATAGGCTCTTAAACCTGTTGCCCTACCACATTCACTTGAAGGCTTTTTACTCTCTCTTTTTGCTTTTTGAATAGTTACAAACACCCCTGTCCAATGCTTGAAGCTGCAAAACTTTATTTATTTATATTTCACCATTGAATGTATTAAATTTCTGTATTGCAGGGAGCCTCTAGTCCTAGTTGTGTTTGTCAAAAGTTCACCGAGTGTTGTCTGCTTGTCTGCAAAACTGCACTTGTGGCCTAAACGGCTCTGTTAACCTTAATCTCCTTCAGGTTTATGTATGTTGACTTTGTGGTTCAATTACTACATTCACAGGTAGTTCGCCAAAAAACTTCATAGACATTTATGTATTTTTACTCCATTAGAGTTGTAACTTAGAAGCAATATTATTTCATTCTGCGTATTCGCAAAAAAAAAAAAAATTATTTCATTCTGCATGTTTCATCTTTCAAACTACCCTGTTTCTGATTGCTTTCTCTTCCGAAAACGTTTTGCAAGATTTGCCCTTTGTGTTGTGAAGCTGCTGAGGTAATCACAAGCTGAATTATGCCCTGTGTTGGTACCAAAAGCTCTTTTACATAGTCTTCCTTCAGCTTTTTGATGGAGCTATATAGCTAACAAAACAAGGTGTCTCCAAGCATCCACCCTTTTGACTCCAGAGGATTCAATATTAAAAATGAGGAAGGGAGCATCTCCTCAGATTTTAAGTTGATGCTATCTCATTGGCGGTCCAAGTGTTCCAAAGGCTGATGGGTAATAATTTAAACAGAATTTATTTAGATTTGACAATGATGAAGCAATACTGTATCAAGGTCCATATCTGCAATATTATTCTCATGTCTTGTAGTCAAAACTTGTCTCTTACAAGTTACAATTGCAGAGATAATACTTTTTTTTACATCTGTAAACTTAATGCCTCTAGTTTTTCCATGCTGTGATATTAATTGAGCTAGAAAATTGACAAACTATGTTGTATTACATGTATTAAAGACAATGAAGACAATTTACCAAAATGACAATTCTATGTTTGTCTTTGGATGTTCAAAGAGTGCCACCTATGTTTTATCTAATTATGTCAATATGGTACGGTATAACTGATTAGGTACAGGTTATAATACTCAGAATGGATGTACATTTTGTGAAGAATAATCAGCTCATATTGCCATTTTTTTTGCGAGTAAAGAGAGTATAGTTTCTGTGGTTCTCTTCTCTCATATTGCCATTTTTATTTGTAGTTTTTTTTGTAAACATGATGAACTGATGCTCTAATATTTTGCTGTTATTAAGGATGTAACAAGAATAAAAGAAAACAAGAAATGGGGCATCTAGGACTTATCAGAATGAAGTAACCAAATCAGGTAAAATCAAATGAAGCTGCTTGTAACAAGCAAGCTCTGGAGTTGTAACTTTACAAGTATTCTACAAATCATCCGGAGGTGCTGTGAACAATAAAAACGCTGTGTCACTAAGGACATGTTTAGTTTGCTACCTGGCAGGCAGGTCACCTACCAGGTAATAATCCTGGCCACTAGGCCATTGAAATCAACGGTCTGGGAAACCTGCCTAGCCGGCCCTGGGCTTCCAACCAACTACGTCTTGAATATATTCCGGGAGGCCTTTTATCATTCCAATTTTCCTCGGCGGAAACACCAAGAATGTAGTATACAGCTTGAATTCATTCTCTCTCTAAATAAATAAATAAAGTTCAAGGTAATGCAATGTTTAATATTGACTCCTTTTAAGATGAGACATAATCCTTTGATTTGACAAATTGATAACAGTACTGTAGCCTTGCTCTACAGGACGTAGCATTTCTACTTGTAAAATCTGGTAGCAAATTAGAAAAGTGAACCACAGAAACTCTAGACTCTTGGAATGTTCAATATGTTCCGATCCTCATGGTGAATAAATTCTTCATCGAAATGAATTTGTCACTAGCTGATTAATAAAACTTTATAAGAGCTACATTCTTGATTCTAGAGAGGGGAAAACTGCAATTACATCATGTGAGGGCAACATACATCATATATACACCAATATGCCAATTGCCATCAACACGTCTAGATTACTAAAGCACACGACAATCTGTCTGTCTGACAATAAGAATATCCTCAACAAAAACTAGAGCTCAAGAACTCATCAACTACTACGACGCACGAACCACCTGTGGCGGTTGGCATCTACGTACATGATTTTGCACACGATTCATATCAGTATTCAGTACACACGACTACTCATCTCCGGTGCAGATCGGCGTGACAGATCGAGCACCATCGTCACCTGACCTCCCAGGAGGCTACTATGACCGGCCGACGAGGAGAGGCCGTGCGGGGACGAGCAGCCGGTACGCGGAGTGGCCCCTGACAAGGCCGCACCTCGCCACGGCCGCCGCCTGGCCAGCACCGTCGTCCTCCTCCTCGATCTGCTCCAGCACCCGCACGAAGGCATCGGCGTCGCACGGCAGAGTGAGCGGGCCGGCGGCCGCGTACCCGAACGCCTCCTCGGCCTCCTCCAGCAGCGCCCGGAACAGCGGGTGGTTCACGCACTCCGTCCGGACCACGAAGCGCTGCCGCCCCGCGCCGACGCACACCGTGAAGCACCCCTCCGGCGCCGGCGCCGGCTTGCTCCTCCGCGCGCTGCTGCGGCACCGGTCCAGCGTCTTCATGATGAGCCCCACCGGCTTCCTTCCTTTCTCCGCCATGGCCGTGCCCGTGAGCTTCTTCTCAGCCATGGGCAGGTCAAGTCAAGCACAAGACTTGGGCACTTGGCTACTTTAGCAAAGCTACGCTGCTACGGCTAGCAAAAGGTGAAATCAAGCTCAGGGTCAAGAATGAGAAGGTGAGAGCCCGAGAGGAGATATATATATATATATACATGGAAATTATTTCCTACTCTAAGTGAATAGTTACTCCCATATGTATATCTCTAAATTTATGGCATATATGGCCCGACGAAATATATGTAGATAGAGTATATCATCATACTAGACCATCTAGGGTACTATATATGATAAATATGTATGTATACTTAGAGTATATGGTTATACTTATTTTATATGTTACTATCATAATATTATATAATATATTAAAAAATATGTGCTCTTTTGAAAAAAAAACACATAGTAAAGATCTAGAGTATCTTAATATTAGTATGTCAACATACTCCAACCGATAAATAAGTATGTACATATACGCAACATGATTTATTGATTATGGGAGTAATTACTCTCAGGATATATATATATATATATATATATATATATATATATATATATATATATATATATAGAGAGAGAGAGAGAGAGAGAGGGAGAGAGAGAGGGGGAGAAGATGTTTTTTTTAGTGAACCTAGAGAAAGGGTCTTGATCAAGAGGCTGTTTTTTAGTCAACTTGTAGCGCGTAGGAGTACGTGCATATAGTACAATTTTTTGGGTACGTTTTGGCAGTTTCGAAGGGTAAACATCTGCACTAGCAGGAGCCGGAGCCGGAGATAATCCATCATCCATGCACGCATGAGTCATGACATCAAGCATGGCCGACTCTCGAGAGGGGCCAGTTCATGGCGTCAGCGCAATAATGCAGTAGATTTAGCGGCAGGTTGACCCTCTCTGACGCTGTGTGCATGATTGCAATTAGTTTGGAGGTGTCTAACGCCCCAACCACAAGGGTTGTTTAGCTTAATTAGCAACGTCTGTCTTCTCTGATCTTCACCAATGCAACAACGCTCCAAAAACGTCAGCTTCTTGCAGATTTGTTTATTGGTTTCATTCAGTCCACGGGCTTCGTGACAACACACTCTACAGCGTTCAACACCTGGAACCAAAATGCAAGCATGATTCTTGAAGCCCCTTCAGTCTGTTTGGCAGTCATGCACTCTCATTCCCACAGGAAAGACTGCACTTTGACCGCAGCATCATATTCGTGCCGTACATACCTTTTTTTACAACAAGTACGTACCATGTTCGAGTCCGGGAGAAAAGACAAGAGATGAACTTCATGTTCAGCAATCGGTTACAACGGACACCTGTACCTACTCCGTGTCACATGCGCATTGGGTAACGCCTGCTTTTGGCACGGCGATGAACCAGACTTTTGTAGTTCCATAACTCCATTGCAGAATCCACGCCAATCATACGGAGTATACCCCACTTTATTATGTGTACACCCAACGGCCACACGCCTCCAGCATGAACTCCAAACAGGATAGATATAGGTTGTGAGCATATAGGATGGCCCTTTGACAGTTGACACCTTGTTCATGTTGAGTATTGTCAAGCATAAATATTAAATAATCGATCTTTCTTTTGAATTTTCCATATATGTTTGCCGACCTATTCATAGTTTTCCCTTTTTCATTGCACCTTCGTGTGTAACTGTGCATTCAGTAGTAGTGGCGAAGCTAGAGCTCGCAAATTAGAGGGTGGTACACTTGCATTGTGAGTGCATACACGTATCTTTTGGGGTGCATATACGGTGAAATTTTAAATAATCTCATTGCTTTTACATTTTTTTTTGGTGGTGCATTGGCAACCCCTACACATTACTTACCTTCGCCCCTGCTCAGTATATGGTTACTTCAAACCTTTGCTTGAGCTATGCCATTTCTTATCGCATCTCATTTGTTGTTACTTTATCAATCAAAACTTTGGTCACCCCAATTTGTAACAAAGTTTTTTCTATCTATTAAGTTGAAACTTAACCATCTGTTATACTACCTCTTATTTCATACCGTCTCTTGTAGTATGACTACAATGGTATGAACGGTTGTTTCAGCTCGTACAATGGAAATGGATCTTATATGAATTGGATTTGCACTTTCAAAATTTTAAATATATGTTGCAAAACAAATTCAAATGTCCTCAAAGACTAATACAAATGAGATCTTCACTCAATTCCTCAGAATTAGAATTCAAACATATCCTAAACGTTCCATGATATATTTTGTTTCTAGAGCTAAAAAGAGCAGTCTTTATTTATTTATGAGCGAATATATATCAAAACCAATTTGTTAAACAAGCATTGTTTAATGTTATCTTACAATTGATGTCAATGAAAACATTAAAATCATTATATGGAGCAATTAGTGTGTTAAGATTTTAACAAGATATCAATGAATAAATATATAACTTTACTTTTTTCTACTTTTGAATTATATTTTTAGCATTTATGTCAATGAATAAAACAAATATGAATTCAATGTTTTATCCAATTGTAAAGCTAATATCATAATCAAATATTGGGTTTAATGAATACAAATATACAAACTTAACATTTCTAATTCTTAGATGTCATATTTGTTTTAAAATCCTTAAAACCAATCCAGATATCTTGGTTTCCATTTTCAATCAGATATGGATATTCTGAATTTGAATTTTTTTAATTATGTGAAATTAGATAATATGTACTGTCCATATCCAATTTTCATCCCCTAAGATAATGAAAGTCCTCTATAAAAGAATGGTAAACTTTGATAGTAGCCGTGTATCTTTCTTAAAGATATATAGTGCTTCAAACTAAATTATCAATTCAAATATGTACACTGTTTCTATCAAAATACTATCGACTTACATGTTATTTTCTGTCGTTGGCTATTTCTTTTAAAAACGTGCAAACACAAGTGTTCATATGCATATACTACCTCCATCCCAAAATAAATCAATTCCTATAATCATCTAAAGTCAAACCATCTTAAGTTTGATTAAACTTTTTAGGAAAGAGTAACATCGTCTATGACACCAAATAAATATAGTATGGCAATATATTCCATCATGTATAGTGATACTAATTTAATGCTATAAATATTTGTGTTTTTTCTATAAGGTTATTAGACTTAAAATAGTTTGACTTAATACAACTCTAGAAATTAATTTATTTTGAGACGGAAGTAGAACACACACAACCTCTATTAATGCATTGGTACAACTCCTATGATAGAGGAGTGGCCCCATAAATACATGCACGCTCGTGCCCACATGATATGAACGCCTATGAGAAATTGTGTTGGCAAGTCATAAGATTAGCGAAGCACCTCAATACCTCGTTGTAAATGGATACATTGTCTATCACTAAAAGAATAATTAGAGTAACTATGATGACCTATAATTGAAGACTCAAACCAGATGGGCAGATCCCAACATAAGAGATCTAACCAATAGAGATACACTTAGATCTCCGCAATTAGATGTTAGTAAAATTTAACATGGATATTTTAGGGGGGGGGGGGTTAACAATGGAATATGGAGAGTAACTTACATGCAGATTTATGGGTTATTTCATATTACTATTGAAAATAGCAAAGATGAGTAACTTAGAGTCAAATAAGGGGTTCAAATTACTTCATTTATTTTTCATAATGGCAAAGAGATAATTTTGCTTCAGATATGGGGTTACTCTAGGTTATTATTAAAACTGACAAAAATTGTAGCAAATTTTAGGGCTTATTTAGGATAATTTTCATGGCAAATGCGAGTAATTTTTATGAAGGTTTAGAGGGTTAGTTTAGGTTACTTTTCATGATTGCAAATGCAAAAGTGGAAAATTTAGAAGTAAATTAGATTTAATAATAATGGCTATTACTACAAACAATGACATGTTTTACCTTTTCGAGATTCGAGATAACTTCTAGAGTTCTACCATGAGTTCATGACTCATGAAATTAACAAGGAGGACAGTCTCGATGGGGTTTTCTAAAGAGTTTCATTCTCATTTAATACAATGACACATCAACAAATTTGCACGGTTACCAACAGAAAAGCTGGTGTGACAATCTTGGTAATTGTGTGATAAAACTCTCCACTGAGACTGGCATCTTAAGAGCAAGGTCAATAATAGAGCCAAGTGCTTGACTATAAGTCAAGTTATTAGAGCCAAGTTATACAACAATTGTCTTCTTTTTTTTCTATCACGTAAAAGATTTGCGCGTCTTTGTATTATGATAGAAATTATTTTGATTACAAGACGGGCTTTGCAAGGTTTTCAAATCTGCTCATGCCCGCCCAACGCTGATTGTAGCTAACGTATTACAAAAGGATTTTTTTGAGATACTACAAAAGGGTTTTTTATTATTATATAGTGCAATGTCTTACATTCTCTTTTCTATTCATCCTCTCATGCATTTCTATCTAGGCCCACCAATGTCTATTCTTCTGTGCTCAGTTTGGTACTTGCATGAGAGCCAAGCTCTCTTCTCTCTCTTTCCTTCTCTCTTCCACATCATCAAAAATATTAATTAGCTTGACTATAAACTAATTGTTGTACATGCTCTAAGTGGCTTGCAATTAGTAATATTGAGATAGAAGATACGTGGATCAATTCATTGGAAATTTAATCTTACTGCACGGAAAGGTAAACCATATGCCTTTTTTGGCTGAACCTTCAAAAGACGATCTAACAAGTAACCATTGCCAGTTTGCCACTAAAATATCAGACCACATGTTCTGTTCATGAGCACACTGAACTACAGAGCAGCACCAGTACTGGCATCAGTTACATGCATGAGTATGGCACGGAGGTGAACCTATCATGGGGCCAAATATCACACGACCTCCGATCAGTTTCTCGTCACTAAACACTAATACACAGGATCTAAAAACAATATTGGCAAGAAAGGCTAAAATACCATATCTTGACAAGCTTCTTCGCTCATGGATTTCAAGGCCGAGAGGCCGCTTCTTGGGAAGGCGGGAAGCGGTAGAACGGCGGCGGTGGCGACGGCGCCGGCTCGTAGAGCGGG